AAATAAACAAGACCTTAATAATAACAATAAAAGCGGAAGATGATTACTCACTACCTAGTGGTCTCTAGCATGCTCTCAATACCAAGCTTCAAGAACATCGCCTGGTAAGAAAATGAGCTCAAATTGCTCGTTACAAGTACCTGAGAATGCACATAGCAATGCTCCATTCCACATTTCCAACAAACATTAAAGCCTTGCCAATTTTTTTCACTGTTATACAAGGTATTACATAGTCCATAATAAGCGATGCTATATCCCACATTTTCAACAAAGATTCAAAAAAAAAGACAAAAAACAAATCGAAAGTGAGCAAAGTACTATATAGCTGACATGCTAAACAACTGTTAAGGGTTAAATCCATTCCTGGTACATTCTGCCTCTAAAATTTAAAATCATCCGGCCTCATACAACAAGCGATGCTGTCAAAAATATACAGTAGGAGATAAATTCTCTGGACACTTTCACGTTTATGTTATCAATGATGCAGCGAAAAAAGCGCACCTGAAGGAAGTACAGCAATTGACTCCCCATATAGCCTGTCAATGCCATGCAGAAACAACAAAGGAATTAGTTTTACCCTTATTGTCATTATTTATTCTTTGATCGCATGTTTACTGCTATAAATCATAACTGCAAAGCTGTTCTGATCAGATGCATTTCCACATCAATTGAGAAGCAACTGAGTTATTTTTTAATGAATTTAGGTAAAGCCAAGGACGACTAAACCCAACCCTTAAGTACTCCATTGAAAATTTGAAGTTGGTTTGGCTTTAATGCTTGAAAACAAATACACATAGATACATACATATATATAAATATTTATATATGTATATATAATTTGAGCAAATGTAAAATTACCCCAATTATATGGCCTAAAGTGGTGAAATATCCAAAGAATCAATATAATTCTTCTACATCACTTGCACTAATTAAGCAGGAGCAATTTTACAACTCCTTATCCTTTTTGCCCTGCAAAACCAAATACAGAATGCAAACGTAATGATGAAATGGTTAATACATCGTTAAATAATGATATGCCTATTCTTTTTCACTGCTAAGCATATTTCTTTACCTTACTGAAGAAATGTATTCCTCAATATCTTCTTTCCGTTCATAGATAGTCCACTTTTCAGCTGATGCATTCACATCCCAGGTCCCCATATCTGTACAGTAGAAAAATGATAAATGCAAACTCAGATAGGATCCTCGAAAAGGAAGTTTCGTTTGGCAGATAAAACTAACCTTGAAGTAACAGCTCATTACCGCCACAACATCTTAAGTTCCAAAAAACACGACCCTCGGCATCCAAAAGATAAGGCTCTATTCTCATAGCATCAAGTCTTGGCCTTCCTACAATATGATACAAGAATTATCAAGCATGTATAACATGGATAGTTGACGAGGGAATAAAAAAACTGAGCAATTAGATTCATAACCGATGACCGAAGTCACCAAACAAAAGCAATTTGGAATCATGAAACATGATTCTTCAAGGCTAATTTTCTTAGACTAGTGAAATTGGTCAACTTCTTCATCAGAAGCAAATAAACAATTTGCTGTGAGAATTCTTATAAAGAGAAAATATCAGACATTAGAACTTACTCTTAGAAACAACTCC